TTCAATGTATATATGCCCTTCTTACAAACTCACTGAACTGGTTCTAATTCACATCCACATATACTTCATGGCGTTGCCGTAAACGCTGTGAATTAGCTTTCATCATGTTCCAGTGCCAAGCTTCGGAACGGGCAACTTTAATCACCATCCACAATTTTTATCATAAAACGTCAAAAATTCTCGTTTTAAAATATTTTAAACCACTTTACAGACGTTACTAGTAAAACCATTAAGGTTCCGTAGCTAAATTGCACCAGTGTGTATCTTCTCACGTTGTTGGCGATCATGTAACAGCAGAATATTTCCTTAGGATATTTATTAATTCACCGTATATACTTTACGATGCTGTCAACAGTTCAGATTATACAGCGTCGAATAATATTATGATTACTGAATAATAAATTATAAGATAGGTAGAATAAAAATCTCGTGGTCTGCTTCAAGTCACTGTGCAGGCATTTGTTTGGAAGGAATAAGGAAAATCAAGAAATGTATGTTCAAACAGCCGATTTCCTGGCAAATATTTCAACCCGTAATCTTCCGAATACGAAGCAGGACTGATATGGACTCTCCCGCGACATTTGGTTTCATAATGTCATGTTCTATGCATACTTCTACACAGCTTACCGAGAGAAGTCGCTTAACTTCCATCACAAACTGAATAGTCAGACGTAATAGAAAAGATGATTTTACGTCTGTGATGCAAAATATAAGACAGCATAGCCATGACAACTGTTACAACTATTTACGTATAAGTATGAGAGAGATCGGCTAGTCTTTATAAAGAAGATATATTTTGCAAATATCCTGTTCTTAAATGCAATCAAGATTCTGTATGGCGTTGTGGTTTGACAACTTGTTGGCCATCACGGCTGTATGAACAGCTGTACGTTATTTGTCAAAACTTCTCGCAAAAAGACTCATATGACTCTTGACTGCTTGGCAGCGCCGGTAAGAATGTTGCATGAAGAATTGAATTCCATGTGGAGAAAATTAAGAAGTAGGCCACTGTCGACTCCCATTCAGAGACAGCCGTTGACACATGTGTTTAAACAATTTAATCTTGTCTTTATACGATCTTTTAAACTAACTAAACTAAACTGACCTCTATAAACATAATATAACTAAAAATCATTTTGTCTGAAGGAAGTCAGTATTAGATTTTTACACTGAATACATTAATTATATTTGGATTAAAAAGTATAAAACATATTATAAATACAGAAATACACACATAAATTTTCATGTGAATGAGGTGTGTAGTGTGCATAAAATTGTTGAGAAATACATAAAAAAATCTAGTCCAATAAACACTGATTGTGGGCTTGTAAGTTTTGAGGCCGTGTAGTTCTACAGCCAGATGGAGATGGAAGCGGTAGCTCCCCCCAAAATTTTGTAAACATGACACTACACGACATCATAACCCAGAAGACCACAACCCACATTTTCACCGCTGTGACAATTTAAAATCTCGAATTTCCCAGTAACTGCATTACAAATGAAGCTATTTTACAAGACTTCAGAGTATGAAATAAACCCTAGAAATAAGGCTGTATTCTGGCTTTTAGCGAGAATCATCGCCCTGATAATGGAGACAGCAATGACCTCTGAAACGTTTGTAAACTTCTACCACACTACAAGGCGTTGCAACCCAGAAGATAGTCATCTTCGGAACTACCGCCGCGAGGACCCCAAATCCTACAAAATGAGACATCGTTCATGCAATTTTGTTGGAAGTATCATCTACTCGTCGACGAATTAAAATTTTAAATTCATTGCTACCTACTGTAACTACATGTAGCAGAGTTTATTATTGAGAAGCTCAAATTGTCAAGAAATTTCCTGCCTGTTATGTTATGTTCACAACAGCCCGCCATTGGTAACTATCCTGAGCCAGATGTAACCATTTCACATCACGTTTCCTCTACTTCCATTTTAATATTACCCTCACATCTGCACTCAAATCTTCCGAGTGATCAGGCTTTGTAACCAACAATTCTTGATAATTCTCATCTTCCCTAAAGCACGCCCTTCCAATAAAAACCTTCTTGATTCAACTTAATCAAAGTTAATAAATTTTCTTTAAATATAACATATGAATTTAAACATAAATTTCAGTTGTACGTATTAGTGGGTAGTAATTGATGGAACATATTCTGGAGGTGTTGATTGGTGAAGTCCGATCTTAATCTGAAAACAGTCTGTGAACTGCCAGCGATGATTTATAACAAATAAATCTTATTTAATGTATACGTCGTGATGGCTGGGAAATTACATTTGCATTTTACTTAATTCTTACGTTTCACTTTCACTTGTACAGAATCTTTAAGGCTAGTGACGACAGGTTTCACTGTAAATCTGTTTTCATTATAAGAAGGCTAACTTGCTTGCTGTACATAAACAATACACGAGCGTCTAGTTTCTCATACTTTCGCTTTCGTTGCCAGACTAGTCGCCCCGCCCAAGGTAACCTACATTCTGTGTTCACGGGTGATCTCATGCTCCAATTTAAGTACGTATAAGGCTACTCAACACATATTTAATGCGACGCTTCTCGGAGCCGGCGTCTGTGAACTTTCCCAACATGGCAGCACTCGAAAATACAGATCATAATCTAAATTCAGAAAAAAGTATGCATGCATGCGTTTATAAATACACTTTCAATTAATTAAATACTACGCCATTTGGCGTTGTAGCTCCATGCATCGCATCGATATCAGATGAAGATAACTTATCACCTTTGTTTTCCTAGATCAGGCGTAAATATTTCAAATTTTAATATATTTAAAAATTGTTTTGTCTTCCTTTGTGATGTACATATGTACAAAGCGTAAATAGTCCTCTCTGATAGTACAAGAGTACTGCATCAGTATGTCATGTACTTATAATGCAGAACAGATAAATGCATCAAGATTACTGCAATAATTTACGCACGTGTGGGCACGCAATACAAATTAACACGAAGATAAACTGGCTAAATGATATGTGGCCATCTATTAAACACAAAAAGTCATTTCAAGGTCTTCTTTTGATATTAACTCGAAAGGTAAACAAATTCTTCGCCTTTTATAAAACCCGAAGGTTCATAAATGCTCGTAATTGGTGTCGTGTACTAAGCCACTTGAGTCCACTCATCATTTCCACATCTGTTAATGTCTTCACAAGTAGACGCTCACACTGAGGTTTCCGGAGTAAAATTCTGTACGCATTTATTACCTAGCACATAGCTACTACGTGCCAAGATAATCACATACTACATAAGAGAATATCTGACTACATAAAATCATCGGTTAAATTTCAGTCTATAGGTAGATAGAATGTAATAACACTGGGAAGCTAAAATGGTAATCATGTAATACGTATGCTGTCAGAGGTGATATTCGTGTCTTGTTGCGAGGTGCAAGTAGCATTATTCTACATAACAGTCACTCCGTGAACAAAGATACAGAATTTTCGACTATAAAAATGGCCAATAACGAATGTCAAAAAGTAACCTACCTACTTGGCAAGGATGTAATGACGTTGAGAAAAATACTATTAAGTACCGCATTTCGCGATTAAGAACATTACAATGCAGTCTGAATCGATATTTACCATCTTTACGTTCACTGCAACGACCTCATCAACTATGTCTTGTAACAACACAAAGAACTCGCTTCCTGATTGCGCACTTAAAATTTACGTAAAAGAGGACACGAAAGAGCACGTGCTGTTAACTGAAGGTCTCGAAATATTTCACTATAAAATGTTTCCTAGACTTTATCACACGATTTCATAATCTTTGAAGTAAATTTCACATAATGATTGGAGGATCATGAAGGCAGTTTAGTGAAACGTCACGAATTCTCTCCGTTACATTCGTTGATTTCAGTTTATTTGCGGTATTAGAATTATGACTTCTTCCTCCTTAAACTGCACAGTCAGCAATAAATTATATCACAACATTTCATCATGACAAATATCATCATCTTTCTGCATTTCAGTCCTAACAGTTCCATCTACGTAGAACAGAATCTGTCTTGTGAAGTTGATATTCACATAGACAAGAATTTCTCCTGCTTATTTTGAATTTGGCTGTCAGTTACACTTTTCACAAGAATCTGTCACAGGTCGCTATCCGAAGCCAGAACCGGTCCTACTTCCTTAAGGTCCATTTTAACATTATTTTCCCACCGTCTCGCTTTTCCAAGCGATTCGAACTTCTAAATCTATGGTACTGGCAAGTTTCCCAACGCGTCCCGTGGGCTTATTTTATGAACAAAAATATAAACATGATAATATGTATTAAGGCTCAAAACAGCGTCCAGTGGTGGTCTCTGTGAACACGGTACTGAACCTTTTTATATTTAAGCTCATAAAATTAGCCCCAGGGTATTTTATGACCGACAGAATCATTGATCTTTCCGAGAAAGAATAGGTACCGTCGATTTCGTTACTGTGCTCCGTTTCCATAGCCAAATGCGTTTCAGAATATTAAACGAAAAATTAAAATTAATGTGTAATTAGGTGTCGTCCACATTTCCTCCCATTTAAACTCTGGAAGTATTGAAGAGATTTAAGATTAATTTACTTTATCGCGGGAATGAAATGTAATGCGAGGAACGAGATATAAAAATAGTGAAACTAATAGCACTTTAAAAAATGCCAAAAATGGGGGGGGGGCTCTAGTTCTTATTATAATTAGTTCCCTTTGCACTCTTGGGTACACTGAACGTAAACAAATACGATGTTCACAAAAAAGATAAAAGTACAAAATTTCTTTCTTTTCAGAAACCTGATCAAACATAAATGCACCCAATTTGACAAAGCCACAGCAATACTTGCCCTCAAAACCACAACCATACAAACTTAAATAAATAAAACTCCCTCCCCCATTCTAAAGAAAAATTACGTGGCCTCAGCGTTTTCCCTTCCCCGAGAGGTTTGGGCAGCTACCCACTACTGGTTAGCCCACCTACTCAACCAGCACACAACACCCAAGCAAAGAAACAAGTAGCTACCTCTGAATCTCGGGGAAACTGCAGGACACCAAAAGCCAAAATGCTTCACCAACCGGCGGTTCGAGCGAGAGCGACTCTAGCCCTAATGAGAATCGGACAAGACATTACAACCCCCTCCAGTCCAGCCCTCCCTCATCCCGCGCCTGCGTAGCAAAAGACAGATACAGTAAGGACCAGACTTCTTGCGTGTTCTAGTTGCAGGGGTGAAGAGCAAGGTGATAAGCACTGCGCGCGCACCTCCACTCGTTCTACCTGGCCGTTCCGTGCACCGACCAAGCCGTGCCGAGTGCAACTATCCACAGCACTTGGGAGCTCTGATAGCAAGTAATCTGGTCCTTACTCCACTGCCCCGACATCGTTAGTTCAGCCAGCCCTCACCAGTCCCGAGGTCATCACCGCTCAAGAGTCGACGTTTAGGCTCAATAGAATGTTACCTCCTTTGAAGCGGAGAGAACAGAGGATGTAACAAGATTAAAAAAACATAATTAGAGCGCTTAATAATTTATAGTCTTCACCTAATATTATTAGGGCATACGAAATAAGTAAGATGAGATGAACGTAACATAGAGCACGCACAGAATAGATGAGAAATGCATACTCAATTTTAATTGGAACACCATCTAATACAAAAGTGCAAATAAAATGATTTTATTAAAATGGACTAAGGTACGACAGGGGATTATGGTCTGAAGTGTAGTTGTTAAACCATTACTCATTACATATCTAAGATTACACGATCATGAAGAAAACTTAGTCAGAAAAATAATTTTTATCATGCTCTTTGGGGTGAATCAATGCCATCTGTAACTCGCATTCCAAATTATTTTATTCAGAGAACTTATTTATTACAAACAAGGATTTAATTTGCACAGATATGTTCGTATAAACAAATATTTTTTTTAAATACTTCCGCCACAATGTTGCAGATTATATTGTCCCCGTGAAAGTGTCCAGAAATTCCACACTAATGTTGTAACAGAGAAGTGAACATCATGCTGTACACACGCCTATAAACGACGACGTATTCAAAGTGCAGTCCATTAAACCGGCTTCTGCGCTACAGAGGAAAATTAATGTAGTATGCAATGCAAATCCTCGTATACACATTCACGTACAGAATCTAGTCTCACGTGGGAAATTCTATTAGGACGAAGAGGTTTGTGCCAGTGAATGAGCTTGGGCGTCCAGATGGGACGGTGTTATCTGCCCAGGACGTTCCAGAACTGTGATTGGACTTCTTCCTACCAAAGCATGTGTGGACATTACAAGAGGCAGGGAGCGGTATTCGTATCTACCAGCAAAGAGCGCTCTCTAAGTAAAGAGCATTCGAATCAAAGTATAAAAAAATGCAGTGTACCGTCTCGATTGGTTTATTTACCTCAAAGAGACATACGATTATTTTCCGGGTTCGCCCAGCCCTCGGAAACAGAAAAGGAATTTAGTCCTAACAGTGAAAAAAAAGAAATGAAGATGGCGATATTTGCCTAACGACGGGTTTAAAATTTATCACTTTTCTTCTGGCTTAATTATTATTATGACGACTGAATGAAGGGTGGTGTGTGGGCGATCACCGCTCAAGAGTCGACGTTTAGGCTCAATAGAATGTTACCTCCTTTGAAGCGGAGAGAACAGAGGATGTAACAAGATTAAAAAAACATAATTAGAGCGCTTAATAATTTATAGTCTTCACCTAATATTATTAGGGCATACGAAATAAGTAAGATGAGATGAACGTAACATAGAGCACGCACAGAATAGATGAGAAATGCATACTCAATTTTAATTGGAACACCATCTAATACAAAAGTGCAAATAAAATGATTTTATTAAAATGGACTAAGGTACGACAGGGGATTATGGTCTGAAGTGTAGTTGTTAAACCATTACTCATTACATATCTAAGATTACACGATCATGAAGAAAACTTAGTCAGAAAAATAATTTTTATCATGCTCTTTGGGGTGAATCAATGCCATCTGTAACTCGCATTCCAAATTATTTTATTCAGAGAACTTATTTATTACAAACAAGGATTTAATTTGCACAGATATGTTCGTATAAACAAATATTTTTTTTAAATACTTCCGCCACAATGTTGCAGATTATATTGTCCCCGTGAAAGTGTCCAGAAATTCCACACTAATGTTGTAACAGAGAAGTGAACATCATGCTGTACACACGCCTATAAACGACGACGTATTCAAAGTGCAGTCCATTAAACCGGCTTCTGCGCTACAGAGGAAAATTAATGTAGTATGCAATGCAAATCCTCGTATACACATTCACGTACAGAATCTAGTCTCACGTGGGAAATTCTATTAGGACGAAGAGGTTTGTGCCAGTGAATGAGCTTGGGCGTCCAGATGGGACGGTGTTATCTGCCCAGGACGTTCCAGAACTGTGATTGGACTTCTTCCTACCAAAGCATGTGTGGACATTACAAGAGGCAGGGAGCGGTATTCGTATCTACCAGCAAAGAGCGCTCTCTAAGTAAAGAGCATTCGAATCAAAGTATAAAAAAATGCAGTGTACCGTCTCGATTGGTTTATTTACCTCAAAGAGACATACGATTATTTTCCGGGTTCGCCCAGCCCTCGGAAACAGAAAAGGAATTTAGTCCTAACAGTGAAAAAAAAGAACTGAAGATGGCGATATTTGCCTAACGACGGGTTTAAAATTTATCACTTTTCTTCTGGCTTAATTATTATTATGACGACTGAATGAAGGGTGGTGTGTGGGCGGGGACATAGCACGCGAGTAAACATTTTGATCCGAAAAACCTCAAACGAAGAGTCCATGACTAAGATTTAGACGCAGGAAGACTTGGAAGGCTCATACTAAAACGCGCCTTACAGAAATATAACTTCAGGTTGTTGATTGGATCCCACTGGCTCAGCGTATGGATCAGTAGCTAGCCCTTACCTAGCTTCAATAATCATATTCACAATGAAAGGACAATTTCTTTAATGTTGAAACATATAATTTGTCGTACCTTATATTTCGGAATGTAACATTTTATGTAACTCCCATTGCTAGTGTCTATATTGTCCTATCAGAGGGTATTTCACGCCATGGATGCCATTATGTTCTGCTAACAATTTGCCTCCTCCAGCTGTCTCAGAAAATGATTCTCTCTCATCCAGAACTTGACTGATCTTGTAGTAGTAGTTTTGTTTAAATATTGTTAACGTACATGTTCATTACACTACGCTACTTGCTAGAAACCAAGATTGTGACTTGAAAGAAAACCAGTTTCTAGAAGTAGTACCGCAAAATCCCTTTCCGAAACTTAATATCTGTTGGCCACAAAGTAATTGCTAGTGTATAATTTATGAGATGGGGGATTATTTCCCATCAAAACCGCCAAAGTTGATGGTAGCAGCCTTTACTATCTCCCTCTAGTGTATAGATCCACCAATCAAACCGAAGGGAAACACTGTCAATAATGGTGTAATCCGGTTAATGGGTCATAATCCATGGTTTGTAGACCACACCACATCACAAAGCCAAAGTCAAAAGATGTGCAATGCTGTGTGAGGATTCGTAACAAGGGCAACAAATCGGCAATGTACTTTCTAATGAGGAATAAATTATGCAAAGTATATCCACTATCGTTTTCATGTTTATCTTAGGGCTGAGATGGAACGGAATATATGGAATATATACCCAAAATTTGTGAAATTATGCAAATCAGAGATCCGACCAAAACCCACTTAAACGTGGTCTTGGTGAGAGAATAAAATCTCAAAAAAGTAACAAACAGAATTTCACTGGCATAGAAAGGTATTTCAGTTTAATTAATCTGTGTACATTTATTACATGTTATCAGGGACCTAGACGCTATGGAGGAGCTTGTACGTATCTGTACTTCCAGCATCACCCCCCCTCATTTGGTTCAAGCACCTAAATTTTAACTGTAAATATTATTAGTTAATTATGTCAACACACCACCTTAATCAGAATCATAACTGTTTAAATATAAAAGATTTTAACGTTTAATTTATAACTTAACCAATGTGAAACACTGATAAATGTGTAGAGTAGGCAAAGAGTTGAAAGAAGGCAGTACCGGCCTATTTAAGGGCACTAGCCCGATTGGGGTAAACGAAAATCACGTGATATCCAATAGCTGATAACCCAGCCAAAATTTTAAGAAGCCACCTTCTGTTTACAAGCAGATATCGTATTATTACACAAGAATTCTCAGCCTGATAAAGGAGAAAATTCTTTCATCTAAACTGGTTCCCAGTACGTACCCAGCGCAACAACCCAGAGAACAACCATCTCAACACTAAATTTAATAAAATTACCTTCAGTAGTTTCTGAGAAAAAACACACAGAAGTTCAAATGGTGTACCTTGTTTATAGCATTAGCACTCGAAATTGCATTAATATGTTAACACCCGACCCCAAATATTGCATTTTCATTAAACTTTGACTGAAATGTAAGGAAGATCATATGTTACTAGAAATGTGACCAAACGACAACAAACAGAAGAAACACTTTGCAAGAGAACTTGTTAAATTCACCCGCGAATGTAACAGAAGGTTTACGTTTAAGTACATGAATCATTTTATCAGACTGTAAAACTTGTTTTATAGTTTCTGAAATCACAATATGGACGGACGTACGTTTACAACAGCAGCAATATGCAGACTTATAGAGGTCTATATCATCGACAGTAACAAGGGGTGGGGACTCTTAAACGTCAGAGAACACTAAATATGCAAGGGAAACCCAATTAGTAAGGGATGCATCTGTATGAATGACCCATGTCCAGCTTTAATTAGATTTAGTTTATAACACAGTTTAATATACAACGGCTGTTAGTGTAACACGTGACGGTTCCCTAGCCAAGTTATATTAAAACAATACTTTATGTGAATTTGAAATTTGTAACCCTCGAAGACAGCGGGGTATGAGCTATAAGAGGGGACAAACTTCCTACAGAGTCACGTTGGAAGAGAGAATACGAGTCGTATTTTATAATTACGGCGACAACTCACTGGCCAATGCGCAGTAAACGACGCAATAATTACTGCTATTTCTCAGCAAGCTTACAAGATTAATCAGTGCATGTTAATAAGAGCAACGTATAAAA